ACTCTAATGCAAGAGAAAGACGTTTAAATTTTTTCTAAATTTTTAAAAATAAACCTTTTATCAGCTTGAGTATGGAGCTCGAACGATACAAGCCGAGTTCCAGATATTCGAGTTCTGCCTTGAAATTTTAAAAACAACTTTAAATTGTTCTTCGTTTCGTTAAATTGTGAAGTCCGAATATTTCGTTTCTAACTCTTCTTTTACCTTCATTTTCTCCATTTACGATATTTTCGTATGTCAACAGTCTCTATTCAATCAAAGAATTAATTAATTAATAAACGTTCATTCGAAATTTAAAGCAAGTAAGAAAGAAAGACGAGTAAACTCATTACTAGTGTTATCGTTGTATCAATAGCAGTAAACAAGGGTGCACCCTCAAGGTTAACGGAAAAAAACTCGAGTGGTGTCACGTGTCCAGCACACGCGACATTGCAACTATAAAATCACGTGTTATATAGTTAATTTTATTGTTTTTAAAACGCACCTATGAATGTTTATAGTAAGAAACTAAAACTGAATAATGCCTACTTAATCACATCTTTAAAATATAAAAATTTCTAGTTTACTTTATAATCGAAAGTTCAATATTAACTAACTTATAATCAAAAGTGAAAATTTAAAAAGCAGGTAAATTTATAAAATAAATGAATTAAATTACTAAGAAAAAAAAATGAAAATAAATTTATATTTTATTATCTTTTGTGCGAAACAACAGTAAAATGATTTTTAATAGTTATGTGGGGAAAAAAAAAAGTTACAATTAATAATTTGTTCGATATTGTATTTGTAAAGATACGAAATTGCAGGAGAAACTTCCTTTTCTGTTAAAATGTGATAACACCAGTCCCTTCAGATTCGATTGTTCTAGCGTAAGAATTCGCACCAATCAGTGTGAAGTTATACCCAACGACTCCAACAACCTCCATTCCCCCTGCCTTCTACTTGCTTATTTTGTAGATTTACTCGTCACCCACATGGGAATAGCGCCAACTGCTCTGTGCTAATCAGTCCAGCTTTCGTCACATATCAGAAGAGTGGCTATATTGTTTTGACAGTTCTAATTGGAGAAGTTCTGCGCTTAAAAATGAGGTCACCCTGAAACAGGACAGTTCTCTGGATTCTCTCTACTTGTTGCCCGTGTAAAAGAGAGACAGTGTAGCCGCCAAAATTCTTAAACCTCCGATGCACGTAGGCGAAAAAAAGAAAAAAAAATTCTAAAACGAAGGGAAATATCGCCGATTTAAAAAATAATTGTGAAAACATTAACAAGTATATTATATTTAATTTATTATGTAAACTCTCTCTCTCTCTATCATTAACTCTAAACCCCGTCGACCTTTAACCATCGAAATTTAATATCATTAATGAACTTAATGGAGGGAAGAAGACCTAGGGAAGGTATAAACAAAATAGCTGAAGATTTAAAAACAATTTGACTTTGTAACAACAGTATTTGCTAGACGAGTGATGGAAACAAAATGGGTTCTAGAAACATTTGTTTACCAATTATCACGTGAGTTTCCTAGCTATAAAGTATCACGTGAATTGGTGACTTGATACCCTTGAACTTTCTTCTATTATTAACCTTGAGTGTGCTTGCTTCTTTTACTGCTACAACACGAACAATAGCACTGAGTTTACTTCTCTGTCTTTGTTACTCGCTCTAAAATTCCAGTAAAATTAATATGGATATTTATTAATTAATATCGATTGATGACACTTTAATCGACTAGTATAGATAAGTATTTTATATTATATAAATTTTATTTATTTCTTTAAACGAATGTAGATTCAAACTCGACGGTTTTAAAGTCTTTCATTAAAAACAGATTGTTGACATATGAAATTAACCTAAATTGAGAAAATGAAGATAAAAGTAGAACCAGAAGATGAATATTCAGAATTTACATTTAACCGAGGTGATGAAAAGTTTCAAGTTTTAAAGAATTGCAAGAAAGAATTTAATACGGATAACAAAAAGTTATGTAGAATAATTAAATTAGAACCTTCAGAACATAAAAATATACAGGTGAGTAAAATGTACTTTTGTATACGACTCTAGTGTTGTTTTAAAGCGTCACTTGCAAACTTTCTACGTTTGCATTACTCTTTCCAAAATTTTAAAATAAACTTTGTTTACTTAAATGCGTAGCTACGAGGGAAAATGTTACGATTTTGAAGTAAGAGAAGTCAGCCGAACTCGAAAAATTCATCATGTCTACATATAAAAACTGTCAAACAAACATTAGTGAGACAGTTGGCTCCAAAATCCTTTATTACGTTATTAGATTTAAATTTATTTAATTCTTTTTTACAACGTTATCATTTGTTTGACTTGTGATATGAACTGGGGTGATATTTTCAAATTTCAGACCTGCATAACTCCTCCAACCGCTGTGCTAAACAGTCCAACTTCCGACATGTATCGGAATTTGGACTGTTTAGCGCAGCGGTTCCTAAAGTGGGCGCAACACCCCTTGTGGGTGGCTAGCAGTGTTGCCGTTCCTAGTACATTTGTACTTTTCTGGTACATTTTGCCCTTTCCAGTAAATTGAAAGTACATTTAGATTTTTAGTACATTTTCAATACATTATAATATTTCAAGTACCATTTACGGTACAAAATAATATTTCACGCCTTAACGAAAAAATGAGAAAAATTAGTTTAATAAAGTCTCACTAGTGTCACTGCTTGCTAATTTAAATTATCCAATCACAACATACAAATGGTGTGTGTCCGTCGACGTCAGCAACATAGATAGTTGCACGTGTAAACAGTCTTGACACAGTGGTCTTCTTTCACACGTACTGTTGTCTGCACATTCTCATCAGGACCTTGACAAAATTTTTCATGCCACTTGGTCCGAACAATTCAACTCCGTCAAACAAAAATAATGGACAGGTAAGGACATCAATGATTTTAAACTTTTGTCGTCAATAATATCAAAATATCCGTTAAGTCAGAAACAAATTATTACAGAAAATAGTTTTGAAATTGTACGAGTATAAATATTATAAATACTTTTATATTATTTTCTACCACTATAATTTAATTCTTAAATTATGAACTTCAATTTTAGTAATCGTAGTAAAAGAAATAAGGGTTAATGTTACGTATGGTTCCAAAATGGCCGCGCTTCCGACTGTTCCAAGGTCTATATAAGAAGATCAGGACACGCGTGATCTACTTCTTGAGCTGCCATTTTGGGGTTTTTTGAGTTGCATGTTTTAAGCAAACTTGTACGAGCAGTCAGTTTTATATGACATTAATTAAACTAAAATTGCATAAATCCTGTAATTTCCAGTCAAAAATATAATAATAATTTCAGATGATTATGCAACCCCAATTTTATGTAACGTTTTCATCAAATAGTTTAAAAGAAACAAGCATCCTTATCTTTTGCTGTCATGATTGAAATTAATTAAATAGGTACTAAAACTGATGCAATTACGTATATACCACTTCGTAAAGTGATGCAATAACATCAAAAAAATTTAAAGTATAATAAAGAATAAAATAATATAATATAACAAATTTATAATTATTTTTTTAAAGCACGATTGGTTATAAAATTAAGATGAAATTCAATAGTATTATTAATAAATGTTGTCAATGTAATGCTCATTTTATAATAACTAATAGATGTGTAGATATTTATAAATAGCTTTCAAAAAATTCCAAAAATAAAATTTTAAATTAAATTATTTGACAATAAACTATATATATTACGTGCCTATATATATATATATATAGGCACGTAAACAAAGTATTCATAGAACTAGTACATTTTGAAGGAAAATAGTACATTTTTGAAGGCGCTTCAGTACGTTTTGAAATTTTATTGCGGCAACACTGGTGGCTAGTAAATCTAGGAGGGTAAAAAGAAACAAGTAGGCAACAGGGACCGCTAAAGGCAGTGTTGGACAATAACCGTAGGCGATAGCTGGGGTTACTGACAATCTTTTTCTTAACTCTTTTAAAACGGGTGTGAAGGAACAATGCTTTTAATGATTTCCAGATGTGATGTGAATTTCATAGAAAAGTTTTTCCTAAAAATATGTCCAAGTCTCACACAAGAAAAAATGGATTAGGGGACGTTGGTGTTTATTAACAGAATAGGAAGTTTTTCTTTAATTTCGTCTTACAAAAATAGGGGAAAATATCAAACAAATATCACAAACTGTTGTTAAAAGTAAATTATAGACCATGAATCCTCACATAATATTAATTTTGCATTGAATTTTTAATATTAATCATACTACTTTTAATTAATTGCAACTGTCGTTTCTTTCGACGTAACTATTACAAATGATTTTAGTGCTGTTTTGCCCAAAAGATAATCAAATTTATATTCATTTTTATTTTTTAGAAGTTTAATATTTTATTTTATAAATTTACCTACTTTTTAATTATTTTTAAATTTTATCTTTTAATTATAAAAGAGTTTACATTGTACTATCAGAAGCAAATCTACATAGGGACTAATAAAACTAAAGCCCTGTGCCCCAAAGTTTCAAAGGCACACAAAAATTAAATTGTTATAAAAAAATTTAATGCGTTTTCATTAACATTTCATAAATAAATATATTTCAACTCTGATTTTGGTGTTATTATAAATAAATTTCAATCTTCAATTTAAAAATTCTTATTTTAAGAAAAATGGAGTCCTGTTGTAATTCAATAAGCCCTAGGCTTTGAGAAACTTAGATAGGCCCAGGTACTTAGTATAATGTAAACTGGAAAGCTTCTAGGTTTTAAGGATATGATTAAATATTTCATTTTTAGTTTCTTACTATAAAGATTTATAGGTGCGTTTTAAGAACAACACTATTAACCATATAACAAGTGATATTGTAGCGGCAGTGTCACTACTACAGTTTCCTCCGTCGACCCTGAAAGTGCATCCCTAATTGTTTCCCATATATTTCAAATAAATATTAATTAATTAATTAATTTTTTTAATGAATACAGATTTCTGACATACTAGAATATCGTAAATAGAGAAAATGAAGATAAAAGAAGAGTTAGAAACGAAATATTCGGACTTCACAATTCAACGAAACGACGAAAAATTTGAAGTTGATTTAAAGAATTTCAAGAAAAAATTTAATACAGATGTGAAGTGTTATAAAACAATTAAAAAGGAACCTTTAGAGGTGAGTGAAAAATACTTTTCTATGAGATCGCAGTGTTGCTTTTAGGACGAGAAACTCAACTGAAATAGTAAAATATAAAGCGGAAAATAGAAAAATATATTTTTTAAAATTGTTTATTTATATAAATAATGACCATACGAGCTTTAAACTCAACTACGTTATTTTTGATTTTAAGTAACTGTCATTTCGGTTGTTTACTATGAAACTTGACGTTTTGGCCACGATGTTCGTTTTAAAAAGGATAACCCTTTTTTTTACTGACGAAATTTTGTGGTCCGACTGTTTTTAAAATTTTTTATATTGTTGTGTATACGTTACAGCTGACTGGTAATTACCTATTCCTATTGTATGAAGTGACGTTTTGCACAATTGTACGTTTTACTTTGTTGGTTATTATATCTTCATAACAAGTAATGCAATCCTATCAGATTTGACTTTCCGACTTTGACCTGGACAAGAGGGTCAGATTTTAGGATTTTACCTTCCTGATTTGATTTGACCCTCCTGTCAGATTTGATCCTCCAGCCGAAAAAGTAACGCAACTAATTGCTAGAATTTTATTATGTCGGAATCAGTAACTTGCTTAGACAAGTTACGCCTTATTCAGATAAATTTTATAGTATTATTGGTACAGTCGACCCCCTATAATTACGGTCCCTATAATTACGATTCCTATAAAACTACGAAAAAATTGTGACCGATATCCGTAAAAAACAGTAAAAATTCTCTATAATTACCTCAAACGTCATCGGGCAGCCGAACTACTTTCCCGCCGTCCATAGCGCCAACTACGGAGAGATTTCTATCGTCTGGACAGTATTATATAAATTATATATAAATTAGGTACTGTACATATAATTATATATTAATTATATATAAATTAGGTACTGTATATATAATTATATATTAACTTATTGTAACTTTGTTATAATTAAATATATAATTTCCGCCGTCTAGCGTGGCGCCACGCTACGGAGATTTTTACGCTAACTATCGTCTGTCAGTATGTAAATTAGGTACCGTAAGTCTAATACAGTACTGTAATTTTATACATTTCTTGTGAAAGAAACATTTCTTATTCAACGGCGATTAAAATTATTTATATTAATGATGTCTCCGAAGTTCTACGAAGTTTTCACAGAAAAATAAGTTGTTAGAAATCGGCCGCTCTTTGCTGAGCTGTTCCGCGACGAAAACAATGTTGAGCAATGGCAATGTCGAATGGTGACACTCGGTAAGTAATCCTACAATTTTTTGTTTATAGCGTAGTTTATACGGATTATTCCCAAAAAATATATACGTATTTTGGAAATGTTGAGTCGGATTAGTCTAGAATCGATTAATTTTATGGAAGAAAATCTTTCAAACAGCCGTAGTCCGTAAACTTGACACGTGTCGGGTTGTGATTGGAAGGATTCGTAAGAAATCGGATTCCTAAAGAATGGAACGTATCTCTATCTTATAGGGGGGTCGACTTTAGTTGCTGATATTGCTTCATTTCATGCTTAATTAATTTAATTCCACATAATATTTTGAACGTATCTTCTTTTGTACCTATAAATTTATATTTCAGAAGTTTATTGTGTAGTTTGAGTTTAGTGTATTATATTTGTAAAATCAATTATATTAAAGCTGTAAGAGATGAAAATGGGTTGGAGACTTTTAACTCCTATCAGGCCTAACAGTAGTAGAACTCGACTCGAGATCTCTTTCATTTTCGATTGACGATAATCGAGAGTTTGATCTTCACAAAATAAGAAATCTAATTTATCTAAGAATTTATCTGTCATCGAAAAAATCCAGAAACGAGTTGCGTAACTTTTCCGGCAAAAAACTTCAAAATTGTGTGTGGCACCATCTGTTAGGAAATTTTATTCAAAAACCTGTTTATATTATTAGTTGTAATAAAATGGCAAAAGCTTTATTTTGAGATTATAGATAAATTGTATTTTTAAAAAATTGTGATTTGCAATTACAAGTAAAATCTTCATATTTTTAAACATTTTTTGGTGTTAAGAAAGTCTTAAACGTGGAAGTTTCCAAAAACTAAGGATCAAATTTGACACGATTTTTATGCCTTCCCTCTTATACGCATTACAAGAATCGAAATTAAACGAAGTTCAAACTTATTGTAATTGCAAAAAAGAAAAGACAATCAACGAGCAGATATTTATTGTGAAATGGTCACAATTCCGGGCTGCAACTTTTCATTACATTTTTATTTTCTTTAATTTAAAATATATGCTTTTCACCTGAAATGACTAGTGGCTTGACCGTATACATTATACTTTTACTGTTAGTAATAGAGTCGTGACGTTTACGAATCTAATCTCTTTCAGAAAAAACTTTCTCAATTGAAATAACGTGACTTCCGATTTGCATCGGAAATTCTTATGTAGTTAATCGGAAACTCATGCCACATTTTTTTCTTCTTTCGCCTATTTAACTCTGTTGTCGAAATTAAGAAAGGACTGTCAAACACTGGCACAGACTAAGGAAAGTGACAATTTATAAATCAATTTTAAAATTGCTGTCCGATTCTTAAATAATAATGTATTATTTACACATATTCACATAGTATCAGATTGTTTGAAAGGTGTTAAATAGATGACAGGCATTACTATTAAAAGAAAAGTAGTTAGTAGGCCAAATTAATAAAAAAAATTATTTAGTAAGTGTATTTCTATGCTTCAGTTTAAATAATTTTTGTATTTGTTTTTCTATAAAGATAAATCAGTCTAATATTAAAAGTATGACGTAATCTTCTATTATTTCAGATAAATATTAAAGTTAAACCAATTTCCACAAACAACACAAACGGATCCACTATTTGGAGTCATTCTGGTTATAAAATCGAAAGAGGTAAGTCTTAATACTTTGAATATAATGAATGTAGCCTATATTCCTACTGATAAGAATAATAAGTAATACATAAATTTATATTCATATAAATGGAAATGATAAGGTAAAGATGCCTATTATGATATAGGCGCCAAATATGAGATACCAAGGTTTTGGCCAAACTATTAACAGCAACTATTTGGCTCTAGTGTTTTCCGAAGCGTCCTGGCAATAGCTCCAAACGTGTGTCAGTGCACGCTGGCCAGAGGTGCTGTTAGATCGTGGGTATGCAGATTTTCACAAAAGCACAAAACATATTTTTTGACATTAAATGTTTACGAGTATGTAACAACGTTATTATTACGCTAAATTCTTTTAATTTACATTCATTGTATCAATTATACGGTCAATTTCACGATATTAGTGCAGTACTATTGTTTTCTTTGTCAGCAAAAAAAGTAGGCAGCCGTTTTGTAAAATTTGAATGTGTTCCCAATATGAGACACATGAAGGTTCCTAATATGAGATAGCTCATTTCATATATGAGGTGAAAGTATACGTATTAGTTTAAGTTCTTTTTTTATATATTTTAGATGGGCCCAATTAAAAGGAAAACCTGGCACCACAGTGCCATGATACGAGCCGTGGATGTAGTACGGAGCAATCAAATAGGTTACTTAAAGGCATCAAAACAATTCGGTGTTCCTAAGGATACCCCAGAAAAGGCCGGATGGCTGAGAGGTCACGGTGACAGCCTACCGCTCTGGGGATCGAATCTGGACGGGTCAAGACTGTCCAGAATCTGGGGTACCCCTAGTATCTCATAATAGGAGACCATTTACCTAAGACGTGATTTCGGACTTTTTTCATTTTATCTAATATAACTAAAAATGTATTATGCTTAGGACTAAATAGCAATTATATTGTTAAATATATTAAATTCCCTATTCAAAATTGTAATTTGTAAAGCTCCAAGTGAATAGTTATTTTTTTATAGTCAAAAATAAAAATGGTATCTCATATTCGGCATCCTTACCTTAACATTTAAAAAACGTTGCGAATACGTCGTGTATAGCAAATAAGGATTTAAATAGAATTTAATATTATCAATAACATTTAATTCAGTTGACAGATTTAAAACAGTCAATTGATCAGAATCTTACAACAGAGAAAAGTCCAATTTAGATGTTTTATATTTCAATGAAACGAGCAATTATTTATTATGGCATCGTCACAATGCTGGGCTGTAAATTTTAATCACATTTTTACTGTATTTAATTTAAAATATATTGGGTATATATAGTATATGTCTCTTCAATCCGAATGGTTAACAAACGGTAGACTTTCTTTCAGCTCTGAGGTTAAGTATTCCTTTATTGTAAATTACATATGCATTTCAGGCTTGTATGAGCCCCTCTTCAGTGTAAATTCTACACAAAATTTAAAAACAAAAAATCAATTTACAAAATTTTTTTTCGTTGTAAAGATTAACCAACATTAAATTTTTTTTCATACCTCAGATGGTTGAGTAACACTTTTTAAAAATTGTATGATATCAACATTGACATTATTACCAACGAAACACATGAATAACAATCGTATATAAGTATAATTCCCAAACCTTAAAAACAGTAAATATCTATTATTATCTTACATATTATTACCCATTATATTATTACGTATTATATTATTACATTTGACATTTTTTACAATTTACATTTTTTAATTATACAAATTACATTTACAAATACAATTTAAAAACACCACAATATTTTAGTTATTTCTATTTACAATTAAATGATTTTGTTAATTTTAAAACCAAAAAATAAATAAATAAATAAATAAAAGGAAGAAGTATAAAAATATACACACGGGCTTATTTTTTATTACATTCATCCATGGTCTTACAATTTTTTACTTCATATGACTCATTTGTTACAGTTTAAGTCACGCCCCTTATTACAGTTTAAGTCACGCCCTCTATTACATTATACCATTGTTCATCAATCTGCATACCATTCGATAAATTTACTAGATTATTATTACTATTTTTTATTATTTCAATATGTTCTTTAAATTTGCATTTATATATTTCCTTTTCATAATGTAATATTTTTATGTTATTCCTGTCAATCTTACAATTATTAATATTTATGTGATCGAACCAAGGGGAATTGTTATATTTTAATTTTATAGCGGCTTCATGCTCTTTAATTCGTAATTCTAATTGCCTACCTGTTTCACCTATATAGTTTTTTGGATTTATACAATCACACCTTATTTTATATACAACACCCGATTTTTTTAGTTTGTCTACTTTGTTTGTATGTTTTATATTATCAGAATGGATGTTATGTGAGATTTTATTAATTAAAGCTGAAAGCTGAAACCTCAGAGCTAAAAGAAAGTCTACCGTTTGTTAACCATTCGGATTGAAGAGACATATACTATATCTACGTATTTATCAGCTAGTATACCAGATTTTGTGAATTAAAATATATTCTTCTCATTTGAAATTAACAGTGGATTGCCTCCGTACATTATACTTTTCCTTTGACAATGGAGTTGTGCCGATCATTTATTAACTGTTTTCGGGAGAATAGTTTTTAATTGAACTAACGTGACTTTCGATCTTCACCAAAAGTTCGTACACAGTTAATCGATGTTTTGTTCTCTAATTCTTACCATATTATCTGATCTCGGCTTTCATCTTCGTCCGTTCTCGAGATTAAGTCAAATTATACAGCCCAATCATATGATTAAATTCAAAACTTTTCAAAAACCTTCCTGGACTGAAGAAAGCTTTCAGCTAGTTGTAGAGCACGTTCGTACAGGAGGGAACTTAACAACACTTATACTGTGCCGTTACACTTACTATAAAGTATTTCGTATCAACTATGCAATAAATTTAATTTGGTTAAAGATATTCAAAAATTAATTTTATGCAATTATACTTGTTCTCTTATCACAATTCTTTAGGCATCTCACCCGGATACTCGGGGTGAGATGCCTAAAATGTCAGACAGTGAAAAAGTCGTTATTGCAAACACAATACATAATTATTTTTGATATACTCCAAAGTTTCATTTGAAAACATATTAAAGAATATGATATTTTCGTTAGAAGCTCCAAAACCCAAATTATCGCGATAATTTCTTTCATAAGCGAAATGTTAGACATCTCGCCCCAATAATAAGCATAGAATTCAAACAATTAGGAGTTGAAAGTTGAAATTTTGTACACAGTTAGCGTACGTCATGAGAGCGTACACTAAAAAGGGATTTTTTGAAATTTTTTTTTTGCGGGGGAGTGAGAGAGGATTAAGTCTTATCCTAAAAAAACTAAGCTTCTATTGTACTGTTATAAATACGGATTTTTTGTTTATCCTGCGTTTTAATAAGGCATGCCACGACAATGCACACTAAGAGTTTTAAGAAATTAAGAGATTTAATTATCGTTATCCCGGTATGATAAGCAGATATCTAAACATTATTTAATTAGTCTCGGTAGGGAGGAGAACCTAATTCTTGCACTCGTTGAAAACGGGTAAGATCGGCTATAATGTACTGATAATAATCTTAATCTTGGCTCTCGTTACTTTTTGCTTAAGCAACGCCGGGCTCGTCTGCTAGTCTATAAATAAAACTCATTTCTACATTCAAAATTCAGCCTTTCGCCATTTTAAAATAATAATATAAAACGACTTTTTACGTAAAATCTCATAACAGACGGCCTCATAACCAATTGTAACATTTCTTTCTGATAAAGTTTCGTAACTCTGCCAGATTTTGTTTCTTTTCAAATCGAACTCAAAATAATTATGTGCATTACCATTTTATATTACTTATGAGTACCAGTACAACAATGGAAATAAATTAATCGTCGTTAGCGAACTCGAAACATAAACATATCATTCATTAGCTCCATCCAAATAATTTTTAAAATTTTAGTTATAAAGTACCTGTGCATAGAATATTAATTTAAGATTAAGCAAAGCATCCTAAAACCACTTCTAGTTGGATAGGGACTGTATTAATCACGGAATAAATGTTATCTGTTGACCTATGTACTAAGCAATATGTGCTTCTAATAAATGTTGAAATGCGATGAGGACAGGATATTTCTTGACCCAGAATGCACATGAAAATGAATCCATGTACACTTAGTTTATACTTATACGTTACTTGCGTTAAAAGAAGTTTTTATTGCATATATATTTATGTATTATATATGAAAATAAGGGTAAGGAAGTGACACGCAGATACGTAACGCTCTATGCAATACATCGTAAATAAAGTTATCAACGTCGACAAATAGAATTTTGTAAGATATTTTTTGCTAATGGAGGTCAGAATGTCCAGAAATAGGAAAACACCAGAATATCGAACTTTGATTAACATAACTTGTTTGTGAAATGTAATAATTATAAATTTCTAATTGAAAATTTTTAAATCTGTGAATATTTAACAGTTTAACTAAGTGTTACTTTCTCGGCTGTTATATATAACAGAATGAAAGTCGGTCAGAAAATAATCCTTTAAACATTTTCATTTTTAAACTTAAGATAGCTTAAAACGTCGAGAAATTAAAAAATTTCGTGGGTTTTTTTGTATGAATACAGTAAATATCAGCGTGTGTTGACAGGACAAGACAATTTTCTTTAATCTTTTTAAAGTTTAATAATTACTGTGCTTTTTGTCGAAAATTTGTTAAATTTAGAAGGAGGGTTTGTTTATTAATGGGATTGATGCTTTTAAGTTTTTGTGATTAAAGGTCGAGGGGCCAAAAAGATAATGCGGGTCGTGTGTATCTTCAGTAGGGTCAGAGATAATGACGAGTTTACTCATTTTCTCGTTTGCAATTTTTATAAAACACATCCTCTAAATTAAGTTTTTTTTTTATTTTATAATAGTTAAAAATATAAAAATATTTTAAACAAAGTATCATAAGAGATGGCGCCATACTTAATTTTAAATGTTTCTGGAAAAGTTATGCACTCGTTGTTGGTTTATTTGATAAGAAAAGAAGTTTCTAATTATATTTATTATAATTTGTTTCACACATACTCTAATTCGCCATGACTCACAGCTACTTTTCGACTTTTAATCAGAAATAAATGGTGTAGTCAAACATGTAATTTAATACTGTTATGTTAATTATTGAAAATATGTTCAGTTTTCTTTTATATTTCAAGTTTTTCTTAGAATCCTTTAACACAAAAACTTCGTAAATTCTACTATAGATATCAAGAAAGAAGATGTAAAAGAGATTTGTGATGTAAAACATGCTATAAAATCAAAATGTAGAGTTGTTTTAAAAAAATTGAAATTTGAAGTAAAGACTGAAGATTATAAAGAAGTTGTTCATCTCCCAGATGATAATGAACAGGTAATGATAAGTAATACAAATTACCGTGAGATTTTAATATTAACATAACTTTCTGAATGTTTGAAAACGTAGCTCAATATCACTAATATAATTAGGGAATTCGATCCCGGTTCTTATTTCTAATCCCGGGATCCCGGGATTATTTCGGTATTGAGGGTTAATAAAAAATAAGAAAAATCTTACAGAAATCAACAAATTAAAATTTAGACAAAAATCAACGTATTTTACGGTATAAATCTAGCTAATTTAATCACTAACTAACCAGACTTAAAATCATTCAATCTTCATGTTAAATTTATTCTTTTTTAAGCATCACTGAGATCTCTTTAAACTCATATAAATTGAAAAAAACCTTTATGTAACAAACTATGCAAATATACGTTAGAAATTAACAAAAATCTCTCTTAACGTCGACTAAATAGACGACATTCACGTAACAACCTAGTAAATATTAGGAGGTAGTATAGTAAGTTTCTTAGCAAAAAGTGTTTAAAAATAATCTTAACCAGTCACATTTTTTTTAAATATAAAGAAAACTAATCTAATAGGAGCATTCTAATTTGAATTGCGAAAATATGATCTGAGAAATAACAACGCATCCAATATCTCATCTCCAAGTCTGCTTCTCAATTTGTTGCACATATATGCAGCTGCTGAGAAAACGCGTTTAGGTTCGATGGAAGTTGGAGGAATCTTCAGTAAATACTTATAAGCCCGCTCTAGTTATAGCTCCGAGGACACGGAGAGGTTGGAAGAAAACAGTCCGGTCGACACAGTTCGGGAATGTAGGAGTAAAGGCTACAATCCCGATTGTTTCGATCATTGTAAGCATGTCTTTCTAAAAATAAACGCGTTAATTTTGTAAATTCGGTCTCTGTGTGAGTCTCTCAGCGTCCAGCAAACCACTACCCCCATACGTAAAAAGACTTTCTCGCATCATCCTGACAGATCGCGGGCAAAGCGAGGGTCGTAACTTTTTCGCCTAAGGTCGACCCCCCTAAGCGAGAGGCGTCGGGTCTATATTAACCACACTGGCGAAACGAGATGGCTGACACATTGACAGGTAAAACGCACTGAGTAGTGCTCTCGACGTCGCCAGAAAATCGATTGGCGCCCGCGAAAATTCAAAAATACAACAATGAAGTACAGTGAAAACTACTTAGACGACCACCTGCATTCGACAGGCACCTGCCAAAACGGGCAAAAATTTCTAGCACGAAATAGTTTATCCATAGAGTTTATCCATCGTATAAGTTACCTGTATTAAACGACCACCTGCGTAACGCGACCGCGGGCATTGATTTTTGGTCCGAAACAACATACAACACCTGTAATAAGCGACCATTTTTGCGAATGTATCTGGTCTAAACTATTGTAAAAACCCCTCTCAACAACGTTTCCACCTCCTAATACAGTATAATGAATTAATCTAAACTCAGGAGCGAACGAAAAGAACGGAGTCGAATTAATTAAGTCGGAAAAAAGAGTGTGCTTTATAATCGAGAAAATGCGACTATTGTATTAATCTTTAAAATATTGGTATTAAATCTGTCTTATAAAATCACGACAAACTTCTGTAAATCGAGTTATCCGATAAGAATAAAATACAATACCAATATAGCCCTATCATTGAAAAAATTCGCTTATATTTGCTCACCTCGAGTTTTGCTTAGTAGAAATGGCTAAAAAGTGCGCAAAATACGTACGGAAATACGGTATTACAGCACCACCTGTATTGGACGGCCACCTGTCTAAAAGACCACTTTTTGAAGGAACCGTGGGTGGTCGCCGTAGACAGGTTTTACTGTATATTACCAGGTAACCCAGCGAGAACTGCTTGCCTATCATTTTAGTTGAAAATACAAGAAGTTTTATTTCAAGCAAGCATCGCAAGCCCGCTAGGTTAATTTCTGCTGCTTGCTTGAAATAAAATGTCTTGTATTTTATATTAAAATGATAGGCAAGCAATTCTGTTAAAAGCACTGGCATTGAACGTTTCGCTTCATGCAGTCTATTTTGCAACTTTTTTAAAATGATGTCAATCCCGAAAATCTCCGGATCAGGAAAACTTAATTTCGAAAATTTTGGGACTGAAAAGTAGTCGGGATTCTGAGATCCCGATTTTCGAGATCCCGGGATCAAATCCTCTAAATAT